GGAAATGATTAACAATTTTTTCTCTCCTAAAAATCAATATTAAAAATTGGGAAATATATTTATTAACTAATAAATCTTCTGAATTCAATAAATCTATCTTTTAACTTCCTATAATCTATTTTTTTCCTATAAATAGTATAAATTAATAAACTAGTCCCGTATACTTCAACTGGGATGTAAATAATACAGATTTCTCAATTTTTGTCTCCTCAAAAAACTTATTGAGTGCTAGAGTTCATTTTGCAAATCATTATTCACTAAAAGTATTTTCAGAAACCAGTTTGCATGGTTTATATTATGAAAACACCAAGCGACAAATAGAAAGACAACCTATTTTGGACTTAGTTGTCATTAACTGTATTTGTGCTGATATTTAATGGCCTGTCTGCTGATAAAATTTAATATTTAATGGTATTTAATGGCCTGTCTGCTGATAAAATTTAATATTTAATGGTATTTAATGGCCTGTCTACTGATAAAATTTAATATTTAATGGTATTTAATGGCCTGTCTACTGATAAAATACACTACACACACATAACATAAATTTTGGATTTTCAAGTAACAATCACATCTATAGTAACACAATTCATTTTTTTCTTTTGTGCTGTTAAAAATCAAAATGTTTCTCTATGAATTTTGTTTGCAAGGAACTTTCAGCTTAAAAGAAAACAAAAATTATTTTTACACTCAATAATAAAATTGTTTGAATTTATAGAGCAGTGTTGGGAGTTTATTATTTTTTCTCTTCACTTTTCATACACATTTTTCCTCCATAAATATATGTTATTGTTTTTATATTCATTCTTATATTCTTGTCAATGTTTTCACTATTAACTAATATTACTCTACATTCTATCAGCATAAATATATTCCTTCAAAAATTGGTAATACAACAGGAGGGTCTTAATGATTGATTTTTTATGTTAGATCTTTGCTGACAGATTTTCTAAAGGTTATCAACCCATTGCAGGTTATTTAAATTGAGAAATATTTTTAAAATGTAAGAATTCTTTTGATTTTTGTGATAATAAAGATTTAATGATACAATTCTTGCTAATTAACCTATAGATGGGGGAGAAAAGGTGGATTCATACCTTTCTCAACTGTATTTGAACATAAGTGAATATAACAACCTGAATAGAATTGGAACACTAATTAACAATTCCGCCATCTAAGGCACTGTCTTTGGTCCTAATTTGTTTTAAATTTTCATTAATGACCTTCCCAATAGCATCAACCCTCAAATTGGTATCTATGCTGATGATACTGTCAAGACAGGAGAAAATGATTGTAAGTCTGATCAGCTTGATAAGGTCAAATGGCAGCTGATATCAGAAATGACCTTCAGTTTTTTGTTAACTAGGGCAAAAGATGGCTTCTTAATTTTAACACTTCCTAAACTAAGCAGATCTCTATTAACCATCTGGGAGACGTTTTCCCGCCTTCCATCAGCATGGCTAATGCTAACCTCCAGGAAAGTGACTCATTGTGCCTTCTTGGTCTAACATTCTTGGATGATATTAAGTGGAAAGAGCATATTGAATCCATCGCTAGATCAGCTGCTAAGAAAGTTGGTTTACTGTGTCATGCTACATAGTTTTCTTTCCAGAATCTATCATACATATTTATGTCTATCATTCGTCCATGCTTAGAATAGGAAAGGATGGAAAGAGAGAAAGAGGAACAGGGAAAAGCAATTTGTGACATACTTAATGGACTTGAGCATGTGGATGGTGGAATAGGGTCTGGGAGAAATAGCAAAACTTATTAAGAGTTATAAGGGACAAGAGGATGTGGAGGGCCATGATCGCCTATGTCCTGAAGAGACACTGCACATAAAAGAAGACTAGATTGACAGCAAGGTCTCATCTATTTACAGATGAATTGGTTAGATGCAACCATAGATTTAACGCTAATAATATATTCTCTCACATTTTTCACTTATGGAACTCTCTTCTGTTTTTCCAGTCAACTCTAATCTTCAAAAAATTTAAATGCAGTGCCAATCATTATCTTCTGTCTTCTTAATTCTTGGTCTTTTATTGTCTTCTCTCATTAATAGTAGTTTTTCTCATATTCTCTAACACTCAGTAACCTCTTTGCATCCTAGTGGCTTTATTGCCTTTGATCTTCAAAAATTTATATCCAATGTCAATCGTTATCTTTTGTCTTCTTAATTCTTGTTCTTTTATTCTCTCTCCTTAATAGTAGTTTTTCTCATATTCTCTCACACTCAGTAACCCCTTGCATCTTAGTGGCTTTATTGCCTTTCATCTTCAAAAATTTAAATGCAATGTCAATCATTATCTTCTGTCTTCTTAATTCTTGTTCTTTTATTCTTCTCTCTCCTTAATAGTAGTTTTTCTCATATTCTCTAACACTCAGCAACCCCTTTGCATCCTAGTGGCTTTATTGCCTTTGATCTTCAAAAATTTAAATGTAATGTCAATCGTTACCTTCTGTTTTGTTAATTCTTGTTCTTTTATTGTCTTCTCTCCTTAATAGTAGTTTTTCTCATGTTCTCTAACACTCAGTAACTCTTTGCATCCTAGTGGCTTTATTGCCTTTGTTCTTCAAAAATTTAAATGCAATATCAATCGTGATATATTGGGAACTGTGCAAAGAACTACATTTTAACTAAACAGCAAATGTTAAATACAGAATTTGAGTTAGTAAATGAAACTTAAAATATTCTGGAACTTTCAAATTCAAGCCAAGCAACATTGAGTCTGGTCAGTAACTAGATGGGTGACTACTTAAGAATACTAGGTACCGTAAACTTGGATGTGCAGGTGGTGTAATGTATACTGGCTCAGAATTGTTAATCGGAGAGCTGAGTTCTAATTTCCGCTGGGATCATTATATATTCACTTATGTGCAAATAACCTTGAGAAAGGTATGAAATCTCTTCTCCCCCTCAGCTATGAATTAATTAGTAAGATTTGTATCACTAAACCATTATTATCTAAAAATATTCTTACAATCTGAAAAAAATCATCTTGCTTTAAATAATCTGAAAAGGGTTGATAAGCCATAGAAAATGCATTAATCAATCAATGAAATACTGATTAGTTACACAGGCATGTCTTTTAGATTTATTGAAATTCTCTGGAATAAAAATGTGGAGAAACTACCTTTGCCACAAAATAAGGTATCAGTTTATATATTGATTGTAATATAGAATTGTACCCCACTTTATAACCATACTATAATTTGTTGTTTATTAAATCCTGAATTAATATAAAATCACTTCTTCTCCTCCAGCTATGGGTTAATTAGTATGACTTGTTCTGCTAAACCATTATTATCTAACAAAAAATATTCTTACAATCTAAAAATATTTTTTTGGCTTTAAATAACCTGCAAAGGGTTGATAAGCCGTAGAAAAGGAATCAATCCATTAATGAAATACTGATTAGCTACGTAGACATGTCTTTTAGATTTATTTACATTCTCTGGAATAGAAATGTATAGAAAGTACATTGATTACAAAGTGGGGGATCAGTTTATATATCGATTGTAATATAGAATTGTTTTCCCCACTTTATATCAGCATTATGATTTCCTGTTTGTTTTTTCAAATTCTGATTAGGTATGAATCCACCTATGGGATAATTAGTAAAACTTGTATCACTAAACTATTATTATCTAAAAAAACTTACAATATAGAAATATTTTTTGGCTTTAAATAACCTGAAAAGGATTGATAAAACATAAAAAACAAATGAATCAAAAAAAAAAAAAAATTCACAGTAAGATAATTCAAGAGGATAAGAAAGTATTAAAAAAAAACTGATGTAATATATCTACATTTGGAATATTAGATATTTTAGAAGCTTAATTATTTGATGATAGTTTTGAAATTTATTTTCAAACACAGAAAAATAGTCATGAAAAAAAGACTGGGTAAGATTCTGAAATACAAGGATCTGTTTTTGATTCTGTCTGGCAGACTAAAAATATCAATAAGGAAAGAGTAAGTAAAAGTACTTTGTGACACAATAATTTCTTGAATAAATTCCCATACATTCTTGCAGACCTCCCACATCAGGGTTAGGGCCTTGTCAGCCACAGATGCCAGAGGCACTAGTTATAAGATCATCTAATATAAAGTGGTCTATGCAATATACAAATAAATCTTGCACAATCTTTCACACTGTTTAACTCTGGAACTTTTTATCTTACACTTTTAATAACTTTACAAAAATAAATGTATTGTATATGTTATAATGGTAACTACACTTGAGAATAAACTTCACAAATTATAGTTTTATTTTTCCCCAAAAGCCCATTTTTGCCAACATAAATGGATTACTTTCTTTCCACCATGAGAATTTTACTCTCAAGATTGAATCATGATATCACAAAATGCAGACAAATTCTGCATTCTCTGAAAGAAAGAAAGAAAGAAAATATACAATTTTATGGTTAACAAATGGTAAGCATTGAGATATACAAAATAGAAATAGTTGGGTAATTATGACAGTTAAAATGATTTTTTTTTTAATAAAAAGTATTTTAAGGGGAAAAAAAAGAAAGAATGATTTTGAAAGAAAGCAAGCAATTTTAACACAAACAATGACCAAAGTGATGAAAATAAAAACACAACAATGCAAAAAAAAAAAAAGCTGTTAAACAAATTGTTAAATCCCACACCAAACAATGTTCCATGAAGCAAAGTTTAAAGAAAATATTAAAGCAAAAGTAAAAATTTATTAAAAAAAAATAAACTGCTTCATTCCACTATGATAATCAGATGAAAAAAAAATAATAAAAAAACATAAAAACAGGTGCATAAAGGGATCATGAGAATGTAAGACTGGTACGTCTATGGGGAGGAAAATAAAAGATAAAAATTGACAATGATAAAGTAATTATAACAAAAATAGTAGTAGTTATTGTGGTAGTGGTAGTAGTAGAAATAATAATAATGATAAAAATTATAACAACAACAACAGCAATAGTAGTGGTGCATGGGGATAGATGTTTGCACATACGTCCACAGGTTCTTGGATCGGCTCTGGTTCCTCATCTGCACCTTCAGAAGACAATTCATTATTACTGGTGCTGTTGTTAGCACCGTTTTCCTGTTCTTCTTGATCTTGCTGTTGCTTCTGTTTCTGGCCACTAGCAGACTGGGAGCTGAAGATGCGCTCCAGCTGGAAACAGGCAGGGAGAGAGAATGGCAATATTATTCAAACACTTCAAGAGACTGGTACCGGGAAACCAAAAATAATAATAATAATAATAATAATAATAATAATAATAATAAAAATGAACAAAATCATCAATAAACACACATTCTGTAATATATTCAATTTAGTCAAAAAAAATCAACATATGAATTTTTGAAATATGAGAGATTTTTAAAAGTAGATTTTTGAATATTTTTGTTCATATCTGTGTGTTATACATTTGCTATGTAAGTATTCATGTATGTTAATATATGTTTATGCATATACTTTTCATACATATTGTATATAATGAAAGACATGCAAGTTTGACCTACTTTATTTTCATTGGATACTCATATTTAAGTAGAAGCTTGAAGTATCTACTCAAATATTGGTATCCACTAAGTTTGAAGTTTTAGTAAAAATATATGTTGGATTAAAAAACAAAAATAAAATCCATTATATATATATATATATATAATATATATATATGTATATACATACATATATATATACATACACACAAATGAGAGAAAGAACAGAGGGAAAAAATTCCCGTGTTTGTAGCATTTACTTTTAAAAAAGTGCTCAATACAAAGTAGAGCAATATATTATTATTATATTTTTATTATAAGAGATTATAATAAAAACATTTTGAAATCACTACACAAAAGGTTTCATGTTTCAATACTATGATTGTGTTTCTTCAGGCAATGGTAAGTAATTAGTGATTAAATGATTTTTAATAAAATTTAAAAAGCAAAGTGTTACCACTTTTCTGAAAGTTAAAGGGGTGGGGAGAAACATAAAGTCAGAATTAAATCTGATCTGACATTTAATTGGTTAATCAAGACATACCCACAAGTCTAATTTTAATTCTGACCTTATGTTCACCCCAATTTTAATTTCAAATTTGATTTAAAAATGACAATTGGAAAAAATTCTTAGTTCCTGCTGACACATTTTGCCTTCCGACTTTATCAAGGCAAGCAATGAAAGTGAAATGTTTTGTAGCTAACAAAACCAAAATTTAAAAAAAGAGATGCTCCTGCATAAGACTCTTTCTGGATAATGCTAACTTCCTTTTTATTAAGAGTTTCTTTTTGGTTTTCCATGCCAACAATATAATTAAATTTCCCAGAATAATACTGAAGATAAGAAAAATTGGTTTAAAAATATCAATTAAATTATATATATATATATATATATATATATATATATATATATATATTTATTATTTCAAATCTTATTTTCATATTAGAGTAGATGCCCAAAAGATCTACTTAAATACAGGTATCCACTAAAAATAATGTTTGAATAAAAATTTATGTAATTAATAAACAAAAATAAAATCCATTATATATTTATATATATATATATATATATATATATATATATATATATATATATATATATACCCTTGTGCAAATTAATTGAAACAAAATGAATAATTCCCTTATTATTTACTTTTTTTCATTTTTTTCCAATTAAATATGTTCCAGTGCACATGTTAATATGTCATGTGTCCATTCCACAAAGTTGTTCCTTGCAGATTGAACACATTGGTTAATCTACAAGGAATCTGCTTGATTGAATTTAAATCAGGAGAGTTTCTAAACCAGTTTATAGTACTTTGATTTACTCATTGGTAAGTGCCAGTGTGTTTGTGCAGTGTTACAATTTTCATACGCTTCCTTGGAGTAACATCCATCACAGACAATGGCTGTAGGACAACTAATCGACAGTCAAGACAATAGTGTCTAGGTGTGATGAAAATCTGATACAATCACGGATTATGTAATATTTTTCAAGCCCAAACAAATTTCATCATACACCCCAAAAATAGATTCATATTATTGCACACCACTGCGAATGACCTAATCATTACCATAATCATTAATAAATAATTACCTAATAATTCAGTATTATTCTGAGGAAAAAATACAATTGATTACACCCTGTCACTCCAGTGGATCTAAAATTGACTGTATGGTGATAGAAAGGAAATTGAAGTGGTTGTTTCAATTAATTTGCACAAGGGTATATATATATATATATAAATAAAAAGAAAGAACAGTAAGATATATAATCCGGTGTTCTTATAGATATTTTTTATTTTTACAAAAGTGCTCAATGTAAATTTACAGAGCATTAATATTATAAATTAATTGATTTAAAATATGTTTTTTTTCGCTACACAGTTCTAACCATGTTTCAAAAATGGAAGCTAAAAGCCCCGAATTTAATTTTGTGATTAAATTAAAGACATTAGTTCCATTTCATCCTCAAGCGAATTTTGGAGTAACTTTTAAAATTACTGGGTTTTAAATATATATGATAATTACAACATCTTTACAGATAACTGCCATCTTATTAATTGTACATTGAATTAGTTGTCAGTTTGGAAATGAGCATGTGCTTTAAAATGGTGCTTTATCCCTACAAAGGATTTGCATGGCTTCAAGCACACACACACATATAAGAAAAGTAATAAATCCATTGGTATATAATGCAAGTGGATCCTAGTAATAATAAAGTATTAATATTAAAACTGATTCACAAAAAGAGCTCAATGTCATAAGACTAATATGTGGGTTTAATTTTATAAAACCTTTTCCCTTTAATGCTAATACCTTTCACCCTCCCCTGACCACCATCTCAAACATTAAATGGATAAATTCTGTATCAATTTTTCAATGGCTGCCAAAGTTAAATTTCTAATTCCAACACAAACTCAGTCTATACACCAAGGTTGAATAAGATTGATAAAGTTTTCATTGGTTGAAATAGATCTACTCCCAATATGAGGTAATTTTGAATTTGTTGTACTATCTATCTATCTATCTATCTATCTATCTATCTATATATATATATATATATATATATGAACAAGTTGAATGAAATTCACCTAAAGAGGTTTCTCTGTTTACATTTTTATTTACATTTTTCCCATTTCTTAACTTATTGAAAAATGAGTAAAACAATTTTAACAAAAACAAACTTAGGGCAGTTTTTTCACAATTTTTCTGTGCAACAACTTTTCCTAAAATGAAGAAAATACAATAAAAAATTAAACAGACTCAAAATATAAAACTTGTTAAAAACAAAATCTAGCTGCTTAAATATACACTACATATATATGTATGCATGTTTGTGTCTGCTTTTCTCTGTATATATATATATATATATATATATATATATATATATATAAAATAGGAAAGATCTTTAGTATTTTTGTTATTATTTTTAAAAAATAGTACTCGATACAAAAGTAGAGCATAAATATAATTATTTATTTAAAAATATGATTCCAACGCTACATAAGAGTTCTCATGTTTCAAAACAAGAGCCGAAAACTTCAATATAATTATTTGAATTAAATTGAATTAAAGTACTAAGCTCTGTTCCATCTTCAAGTGAAATTTTTTTTTGAATAACTTATTCCTGAAATTTATATATATATACATATATATATATATATATATATATATGCATGCATGCATGCATCTAGGCATCATCTTGCTAAAAGACAGCAGAATTAATTTAGATCATGTTCCTGGTATGATACATTATTTCTGCAAGGCCACTATTACGAACCACGCTAGGAATACCTTAAAAGTTTTTATATCATTTGTGACTGCCTTAAGCAAATTTATGCAGGTACCTCAATGTGGGGCAATTGTTAGTAAGACCATCTGGTTAACCATTACTAGTGATTAGTGAGTTTGATCTTCATGGTGTCTCCCATAAAAAATTCAATATTAAAAAAATGGTTGACTCATTCTACTGCCCAAAAAGATATCTGACTCCTTCTGCCAATGCTTTATCATTACAAGTTAGATTAGACCAAAGATTGCTGGCATAACTGCCACTTCTGCCCAACTATATCTTTTCTTGTACTTCCCAACTGTTCAACTCCTGTCCATTTACTTGCTTCCATGATAACTATAATCTTCAAAAATTTAAATGCAACATCAACTGATATCTTCTAGAATTCCGTTCATGTTTTATCCTTTTATCAATTCTCCCAATACTCACTCTTTTCTCACACTTTCACACCATGTAACCATCTTGTTTGAAGTGAATAGATTTAAAAAAATATCAGGACTGGATAAAATGCTCACTTTCAAAATCATTTGTGTGGTTTCAAGGGGATGACATTTATACTCTGCAGCCTCTTTTCACATGGACACAACATTGCCAGCCTTTTGTTACTCTGTTGCTATCTCCATGGCAAATGTTCATCTCTGGCCTATCATTATTAGATTGCTATCTACATGGCAAATGTTTATCTCTGGCCTATCACAATTATATTGCTATTTCCATGGCTAATGTTCGTGGCTACTGGCTACTCTATTGCTATTTCCATGGAAAATATTCATTACCAGCCTATCATCATTATATTGCTATTTCCATGGCTAATGTTGATCACCAGACTATCACTACTCTGTTGGTATTTCCATGTCAAATGCTCATCGCCAGCCTTTTGTTACTCTATTGCTATTTCCAAGGCTTATGATCAGATGTGCACAACCTTATTTGGTTTAATCAGTGCAGATATTTACACATAAGACATACTACATCAATGGAGTTAAACCACTTTCATTTCCCCTGTTTCCATTAGTAAAGAAGAAGTTCCATTCAGTCAACTTCTTCCCAAGAATTGCTACTTTTTGGAACAGACTCTTGTCTAAACATTAAAATCAATCTTCTTACATCATATTTTTTATTTTCCTCGCTCCTTAATAATGATTTTTTCTCATATTCTCTCACACTCAGTAACTTCTTGTGTCTTAATGGCTTTGTTGCCTTGCTTGCTGTGAAATGATTAAAAAAAATCTTAATCTTTTCAAGTCAAGAGTCAGTTATCTATACTACTTGGCCTCATAATCTTAACTTAGCTGTACTTTGTATTCTTCAATTTCTATCATGTAACTCATTCAATGACTCTCTGCCTTAAGTGGCTCTTGAGCCTTGCACAGGGT